GCCGCCCATGACATTCTCCCCCACCTGAGTTGGCGACGTCCTCGACTCCTTACTTGCTAGATAATAATCAATTAGGCTCTTGTAGGCTTTGAGGTTTGTTCCCCTCTCCCAAGTATTATCCTCTGTATCGCAGCCCTGCCATTTCACCAAGAAATCTTGGTGATCTTTCCTTGAGGAATGAATTACTCTATCATCAAGGATAGCTTCAACACGCCTTTTTCCGGTTGAACTGGGGCCTCGAATACTGGGTATTGTGAGCTGGCTCCGCGAAGGATCCTCCGTGTCTTCCCGAAAAGGTTTTAGAAGGCTGACATGGAAGACGGGAAGAATTTTCCACCAAGCTGGGGTATCCACCTGGTATGCAACTTTCCCAATGCGCCTTTCAATGGACAAGGGTCCAATGTATTTTTGCAATAGGCGAGGGTCATGGACCCCCGCAAACAAGTACCGCTTGGGATTTTGACCATCACTTTGTCTCCCACTTGGTATTCAACAAAGCAATGATTTTGATCAGCATGCCTCTTCATCCGCTTTTGAGATTTGACAAGATAGCTCCGTACTATCTCCAAATTTCTCTTCCATTCTTTTGAGAAGCTAGCAGCTCGAGGAGATTTAGACATGTTTGGTATAACCTCTGGAATCTGATCAACCTGAACCCGCTACTCTGGGGTACGGGCGACAGGAGTCTGTGCTCCTCCCCCGACCTGAGATGTGGCTGGAGCAAGGCGAATCAACCTTGCCTGAGCTAGAGTATGACATGCTCAAGAACTGTGCAAGGGTCTCCTGAAGAGCTGGTGTAGTAGTAGTAGGCGTCTCAGGTGCTTGCGCGCCGACTGGAGCTACTGGTGGTTCCTTTGTAGCAGCTTGCTCGGGTGCTCTGGCTGTACCACGTGGGTGTCCTCAACCTCTACCCCGGCCCCGGCCTCTGGAGGCTCTAGTAGGGGGCGGGGGTGCCTGGTCATCTCCGGTTACACGTGCCGTCACCATCTGTGAGAGAATAGAAGACAGAAGTTTAGAATTTCGAAGTCAACAATTTCGCACTACAAGGAATCAAAAGAAGTGAAATTTTCCTAACAGTTCCATAGCCTCCGGAAGATAAGTAGAGACGTCTTCGTACTGATCCGCGAGACTCTAATAAATCGACTTGTGACTCACGACACCTATAAACCTAGGGCTCTGATACAACCTTGTCATGACCCAAATTCTCCCTCCGTGAATTTGTCGTGACGGCACCTAGTCCCTACGACTAGGTAAGCCTAACACTTTGTAGAAATGAAACGAAAAACATGAAAATTAACAACTAACAGTAACAGATAGTTTAAATAAGACATTTGAGATGCCGCTCGACATATACAATAATCAACTCTCGAGATATACACAACTCTCACAAGAACCGGAACACCGTAAGCCACAAGCTTCTAAGAATTCTAGCTGTTCTATACATCGATGTTTAAAGAAATGAGGGAAGAATTAACATAAGGGGATAGAGGGGGACTCCGAGGTCTGCAGACGCGGGTAGATGTACCTTGAAGTCTCCTGAAAGCAGCAACCGTGCAACTAAACTCGAGGCTGGAAGGAGGTACCTAGATCTGCACTCGAAAAACATGTGCAGAAGAGGCGTGAGTACACCACAATGGTACTCAGTAAGTGCCAAACCTAACCTCGTCGAGTAGTGACAAGGTCAAGTCAGAGCCCTACTGGTGTATATGTATATATATATAT